CTGAGGGCCTGGGCCTCCAGCTGGGGAGGGGCAGGTCAGGTTTGGGCAGGGGCTGGCAGGGCTGGTGTGAGGAAAAATCAGAACTTCAGGCAAGATTAAGATGTGTCCGAGTTTGAAGGCCTTTGGGAGGGGAACAGGGAGCAACCCCCTCTGGGTGGTCAGACCTGCTCAGGCAGATCTGCCCCTCCTCTGCTTTATTGAAGTTTTTACTTCTGGAAAACGCCAAAAACTCAACTTAATTTGAGGCTTATTAAAGGAAATTTGGATGCGCTCTGGAAAATGAAGGAAATGCATCCTGAGCATTCAATAAATGAGCAAAGCTGAGCAGCTGACAATTTATTTCTTCCCAAACACTTTGTCCTTGCCCCTCCAGGTGTGTGTTGCCGTGAGCACGGGGCAGATGAGGGCAGGGCTGGGCAGAGATGAGGGCAGGGCAGGGCTGTGGGGGCAGCCCCTGCCCCGGGGGCTCCTTGCCCGTGGCCACAGAGCCCAGCCCAGCCCAGCCCTGTCCCTGCGTGTGTTCCAGGCTGCAGAAGGCACAGGAGGAGCATCGCTCCGTGGAGGTGGAGAAGGTGCACCTGGAGAAGAAGCTGCAGGACGAGATCAGCATGGCCAAGCAGGAGGCCCACCGGCTGCGGGAGCTGCGCGAGGGCACCGAGAACGAGCTCAGCCGGCAGAAATACGCCGAGCAGGAGCTGGAGCAGGTGAGGGACACGGGGGATGTGCTGCCACTGGGGGGGTGTCAGCCAGGCCAGCTGGGCCTTCTTCCCTCGAGAAATCAGGGGACTGAATGCTCACGTTGGCACCACGTGGCGTCCCTTGCCCTGGAGCTGCACCCTCTGGGAATTCCCCCTCTCCAAACCATAAGGTCTTTCTCTTTTTGTATCCGTGGTTTTAGGAGAGATTTAGGAGGAGTTTGGTTGTGCTTTCCGTGCTTTCTTGTGCATCAGGGAAGTGTATAAAGTTTGAGTTGGGAAAGCCCTTGGAGACTGTGGAGTCCAACCATCCCCAGCCCTGCCAAGGCCACCACTGACCATGTCCCCAAGTGCCACGTGGACATGGCTGTTAAATCCCCACAGGGATGGGGACTCCACCACCTCCCTGGACAGCCCTCTCCATGGAGAAATTTTCCCAATATCCAACCTAAACCTCCCCAAACCTACAAGAAAGTCCAAACCCACAGTTCCAGGAGCTGTTTCCTGTCTCACCTGAGGGACAGTTCCTACCTGCCTTTAAGCTCCAGATCAGTGTAAAGTGAAGCTGCATGAGCCAGGACTGCAGGAGCCAGGCAAGGTCCTTGGCTATTCCAAGGCAGTTGGCACATCCTCCTGACTGTGCCCAAGCTTTTTTGCTACCATGGAGGATGGGGAAGAAAACGAGGCAAGAATCCAGGGTTTCCACTGGCAAGGGAGGACCAAGTGTCCTGGGAGCCATGGGGCAGCACAACCAGGTGTGCCAACAGCAAATTCCTTCCTACCTGGAGCAGCAACAGCCCAGAGACCTGAAGGTGACTGTTTCCAGCCTTGCTCTCCTGATCCAACATCCTTCCTCCCTCCTAAGTGACTGTCCAGCCTCTCCACGAGGTCACTGAGCTCCATTTCAGGACAGGCACTGGGACGTCCGTCCTGACACGAACAGGAACTGGGTCCCTGTGTTTTGGGCCATCAGACAGGGCTGGGTGGGCTCAGGTGCCCCCAGCCCTCGTTCCCAGCCAGCTCCCAGCTCTGGAGCAGCCCAGGTGCCCCTGCCAGCTCCCCTCATTCCCAGTGCAGGAGCTGACGTGCCTCTGTTGTTCCGCAGTGTCCGTCGGGAGGGCGGCGGGGTGAGTACGGAGTGTCCCCCTGACCCACCGTGTGATGTAACCCCAGCACCACCCAGCAGCCCCAGGACACACCTGGCATTAACCAGCCACCCCCACTGACCCCACAGCTCCTCCCAGGTCTCCGTATTCCCTGATCCCAGGGAATATCAGCCAGGACCTTCCACTGCCCCAGGTGGTTCCTGTCACTGAAGTGAAACATCCCACACACCCTGCTGGAGTTGTGTTCCTGGGATGTCCATCCAACCCTCTCCTTGCTGGGTCACCCTCCCCCAGACCACAACCCCAGTGGGGCTGCAGACCTGGAGGACATTGAGAGCATCACAGAATGGAATCCCAGA